GTTTTTAGATGGATGAGCTTAATCGAAGGTGGTTGGCGTTTAACGGTAAACTGAAGGAAGATGACGGCAAGTTATCTGAAGCAAAAGAAGTTACTGCTCAGTTTGCCGCTCTTCAGCGATCTATAAAGTTTGTCGTTTTTTACGCGCACTGCTATTGTGGGACTGCATTTTAAGAATTATGCGAGATCGTTTTTGTTTTTCACTTATTTTTTTATTTTTTATTTTATAAATTCTTGGCTGTCATTTTGATATCAAATAAGTGCAGCAAACTCACTCTACAGCTTTTCAGGTCAGACTTGTTAGATTTAGCAGAAACTACTGAGGAAGCAAGTCGTGATCCACTTACGAGTCCGGAGTATTACGATGATCATTTGCAAAAATTAAGTGAGTTAGATAAAAAAGGTTCCGAAGTGAATAGAAAAATAGGTGAACTTCGAGAATATGCAAATTCTATCACTCAGTTACTTCCTGGAGTACATAATGATGTCACAGAGCAACTGAATGGCAATTCGAAGAATGCTGAAGAGCTAATCAGAAGAATCGGTGAGATTTGAATCTATAGCAGAGTTGTCTGTCTATGCCTTAGAACCATTTTTTAGTTTTCTCTGCTTTTTATCTATTTATTTATTTTTTTTTGCAGATTGTAGCAGTGCCGTTAGTGCTAATTAATGTTTTTTGCTTTTCATTCGCATAGTTTTTTCTAGAAAGTCTGAAAAATGCCACTTTGAATGCTAAAAAGCTGGAGAATGAAACTGCCAATGAAGTTGAAAACACTTTCAAGTGGCTAAAGGGGATTAAGAGCCAGCTGAATGATGTCGGTAATGTTTCCGCTGACCCGCGGGTCTTAGCGGACCAAAGCAAAACTATTGAAGAGCTTTATACGGATGTTTTGTCAAAGGAGGGGGATGTTGCTTTGTTAAGGTCTCCTTTAAATTATTTGGAAAACCAGTAATTTTTTTGCAGTTTTCATTGTTCAGTTTTGTGAATTTTGGTGGGATAAAGATGCGAAATTTTGTGAAATGTCAATATTCTAGTAAGTTATAAAATTAGGGTCATTTTACATAACTTTATGTAACGAAGATATCTAGTCTTATCTCAAGTGTTTGAGGGCGAAGTTAAACGAACAATTGAAAAAGAATTTCAATTCGGACTTGAAAGGTGTAGCAGATACACTATATGGAGAATGGGTTCCTATTCTTGAAGAGACGAAAAAGAAACATACGTTGGTAGAAAGAGTTTCGAATCTTGTGAGCCAACTAGAAAATGGTTTGGCTGATTTTGAGCAAAGAGCGCAGCAAACTCAGGATGATCTTAAAAAATTGCAGTTGGTAATTGTTTTGTTTGTAAATGCTTTTTTTTTTTTT